TTCAAGTCCCCAACAGGAATTTCTCCAATACTTTTCCTGAAATAATTCGAATCATCATTTCCCGGATGTTCAATAGCAATTTCACCAGGACATTTCACATCTTTTGCTTCACCAGCTTCACCGAGACTTAAGCCAGCAGATTACATTATTACAATTAGTTCAAAATTTTAGACCAGAAGATTGCAGATTATTCGAATCCCTCCTTTACCCACCGATACCTCGACAGCCGTAACCGCAGACGCTGTTGATTTCCCGACGCAAGCCCAGCGACACTGTTGCCACATCTCGTTTGGTCCCCACCCAAGCTCACGCGCCATAACCCATCATCGCTATTGGCCACTTTCAATATTTATTCATTTAAATTTGAGGAAATCGGGAATTTTTTTGATATTTTTCCTGAATTCCTCGCGTTCTCATCCATTTGGCCATAGAAGCATTAAAACTTGTTTTGAAACATCCTGTATAAAAAAAAATGGATATGCCTTATTCGTGGCGAATTTTCTTCGTCGTATCAACAGGAGATTGGACACACTTGTTAAGTACGTTAAATCTTTGATAACTCCATCGATTGAAACAATATCTGATAATGTACGAACAATAAGTGGGAAATCAACTGCAAATAACAGAAATGAAAATAAATTAGATTCTCTTCAAAATACAAATACATTCAATCTAATAACACTTCACCATCACGAACCTTACTTTCGGATAAACCCTTTAATCTCAATATTTTGACCGATCCCGAAAGAATGAGTCATAGGATCATCAAACTGGATTACTTTAATTTCCACACAAAATTCATCACTTCCTATGACACCAAAACAAATCGATGGGAAACCCTCTGCTCGTTGAATTAAAGCAAAAATAGTCTTAATTAAAGCCTTGCACTCCTGTAACAGAAAAAAAAGGGAATTAAAAGATATAAAGATTAAAAACAACCCTCTGAAACATAAAGGAAAAACTTACGTATACATGACGATGATTGCACACATTTTCGATCTCAATTAACTGTAAATTCCTGTTCAAAATCTCTAATTGTGTATATCAGGACCAAATTGATACATCACTTCCACAGTAGTATTGGGAACCTTCCCAGCCTTCATAAATATCCCATTGATATGAAGAACTTATGAATAAATAAACAAAATAAATAAACACCAGAATAAAATCCAAAAATTTTCAAGAAAATAAATTAATGAATGGATCATATTTTACTATGGAAAAAATTGAAAATGAACAACTCAATATGTTTTAAAAATAAATAAAAATCAACAACTATTGAATATAACAAAATACTTAAATTTCCCGAAATAATAGACGATTCGATCCTTTGAATTTGATTATTCCATGAGATGCACTCAATTCGCTCTGCATCACCATTATTAATGGTCCATTTGATGAGAGTTTTACTAACAGCTCCAGTCGTGGTAATAGTCGGTATCACTTGATACACAACTCCCACTACAGATCTACAATGTGAATTAATTTACAAGATCGAGTAATTACTCGAATAAATTTATTTGAGTTGCAATTTGAAAACTACTGGATTTGGCTAATTTTTACAGATGTCAAAAAATCGTTTTTCCAGTGAAATTTTACAAACTACAAGAATTTTACAAAAAACTTTCAACATCGTCTCCAATAATTACATCAAAATTTTGCAACTATTTTTTGAATACCCCTTTGAAGAGGAGGAATTTACAGAAATTGGAAAATACTTTTTTTCTGAGGAATTTCATGCATTACAAAAAAAGTTTCCTGTTTTTTTTATAGATCTAGTAATTTTGAGAAAGTAATTCAGGAGATAATTCACGAAGTATTGAACACGAAAAATTGGCTGAATTGAATGATATGAAAAAAAAAATTATAATAATAAAAATAAAACTTACATTATCTGAGATGTGAGATTACTGAGATATAGACGAAGCACATCAGAAGGAGTGAGAGTAAACTGAGTTTCTGGAAGTATAAATAATCCATGATAAAAAATAGTTTGACTAAAATCGAATATATATAAAAGATATTAAAAAAATAATAAATATGAAAAATTTACCTGAACTCTCAACTGGAATGGGCAATTTAGATTCTGTATACGACTCAGAGCAATCCAGACAATCCAGATTGTGTAGACGACCCAGATTCAATGGATGGAGGGGGGTGGTGCTTGCCTCTAATGGGATAGAGGATATAACCAAAACGAACTGAAGAATATTCAACGGATAATTCTGAAGCATCATGAGACCTCTTCAAAGACTCTTCATAAACGTTAAAAAATTCAGACCAATAAAATAATTATTAAATAATTATTAAAATAATTGAAATAATTAAAATAAATAATTAATTACCTTTTGACATATTGGAAGATTAATTAAATGTCAATAAGAACACCAATGAACACAAGCAATAACATTTGAATACTATATAACGATTCATTCTATTTGAAGCACACTTCACGATATCATCTTTTTCAATAGATTAAAAAGAAAATTAAATTATTCCTGGCTAAAGATGAGTAATATATATGGATCGAATAAAATTGACCAATACACTGTACTGAATCCCTGTACACTGAATCCCTCGTGATGAATATTTACAAGAACAAGAAATTTGGTATTTCTTACCTGAAAAAAACGAAATATATTGTGAATACGATTGGAGTCTGAGCCAACCACAAGTGGAAATCAAGTAAAAAAAAAATTACTTTCAAGTAAAAAAAAAGGTATTCAGAATCAAATCAAATGAATAAATAAAATTTCCTATTCTATATATCTCGTCAACTCATCAACTTGTTACACATATAAAACATATATTAAATTTAGGTTGAACAACCTCCGAAATAAATCAAAACGCTGCAAATCCAAAACATTATAAAAAGAAGAAGGAAGAAACACGTCAATTGAAAATGCTGTAAATGTCGTAGTGAATGAAAAAAAAAACTATCATTGAATTTGATCCAATAAAATCGACAAAATAGTATAGCTCTCGACTATCAATGCACAACAATATTATATATATTGATAATAACGGCTGATATCTGATGAACAATTGGATGAATTCCCTCGAAATTTTTATATTTGAATAATAATATTCCAAACATTAAATAAAAATCGCTCTTAACTATAATTAACTCCTCCTTGTAACATGAAATAGACTTAATCAAATAATCAAGTAAGGGAGTTTGACCCTCGTAATCTGTTGTTCCGTGTTGTACCTTGTGACCCGTATGGCCCTTATGACCTTAAAGGTCCCTGCGGGCCGCAGGAGCACAAAGATCACCTCCGTTAATGGGTCGAACTATTTTTGGCTTGGGGTCACTTGAACCCCGAGTTCTGAGCCTCTACTTGGATTGACTAAAGAGTCAATCTACAACAAAAACTGCACAAATTTTTTAATGTATTCAGTTTGGGAAATCTAAGAGATACGGATTTGGAGATGATGCAATTTGCTTACCCAGCTCATTTTGCGTAGGTCTACCCCAAAAACTGCACAAATTTCCAAATGAATTCAGTTTAGGAAATCCAAGCGAGATATGAATTTGGAGATGATTCCATTCGCTACCCAGCCCATTTTACGTAGGTTTACATCAAAAACAGCAGAATTTTTGAATGCTTCCGCTTTGGGGGTGATATTAATTTGGAGACGCTTCCATTCGCTTTCTCAGCTCATTTTGCGTAGGACTATAACAAAAACTGCACAAATTTTTGAATGTATCAGTTTGGGATATCTAAGACGCCAATTCTAAGAGAATTCGAATTCGAAGAGAATTTAGAGAGAAAAAATTTCCGCTTCACCCAGCCGGGAATCGAACCCGGGTCTCCCAGATACACGCCGGGCACTCTTACCTCCTAAGCTACGCGGGAACCACAGAAATTGCAGGGAAGACAAATATGGATTTGAAGATGATTCCATTCGCTTTCCCAGCCCATTTTGCGTAGGTTTTCCCCCAAACCAGCACAATTTTCTGAATGGTTCTGCTTTGGGAAGTCTAGGGGAGATATTAATTTGGAGATCATCCCATTCGCTTTCCCAGCCCGGTTTGCGTAGTTTTACGCCAAAAACAGAACAATTTTCTGAATGGTTCCGCTTTCAGAAATCTAAGAGAGATATTAATTTGGAGATCATTCCATTTGCATTGCCAGCCCATTTTGCGTAGGTTTACACCAAAAACAGCACAATTTTCAGAATGCTTCCTGTTTGGGAAATCTAAGAGAGATATTAATTTGGAGATCAGTCCATTGCATTGCCAGCCCATTTTGCGTAGGTTTACACCAAAAACAGCACAATTTTCAGAATGCTTCCTGTTTGGGAAATCTAAGAGAGATATGCATTTGGAGATGATTCGCTTTCCCAGCCCGGTTTGCGTCGGTTTGTGTAGGTTTGCACCAAAAACAGGACAATTTTCTGAATGGTTCCGGTTTGGCAAATCTAGCGGAGCTATCAATTCGGAAATGACTCCATTCGCTTTCCCGGCTCATTTTGGGTAGTACAATAACAAAAACTGCACAAATTTTTTAATGTAACCAGTTTGCAAATCTAAGAGAGATATGGATTTAGACATGATTCCATTCGCTTTCCCAGCTCATTTTGCCTAGGTTTACAGCGAAAACAGCACAATGTTGGGAATGGTTCCGGTTTGGGAAATCTAGCGGAGATATTAATTTGGAGACGACCCCATTCGCTTTCCCAGCTCATTTTGCGTAGGAGTACAGTAAAAACTGCTGTTACGTATTGACATACATTTCTCAAATTATGAACGCCATCATGAACAAACGAAAATATAATGAAATATGAAATGATTTCGAACATAAATCTTTCAAAATTTGAATAATTTATAAATTTTATGAACTTAATTGAAAGATCGACTAAATTCTTCGTATACTGTATAGTTTATTATTATACTAGTATTACTGTATAGTGTTTATTTTCAAAAGACTCTAATTTTTGGTGTATCAACCGACCTCCGGGGTAGAGAAAATAATAGTTGTTATCACTAGACTCACCCTTAATTTTCCTGACCGGTCTGGCAACAAAACAAGGAAGGTACACCTGATCAGTTGTAACCTCTCGGATGATGGAGGCGATCTGGGCCGTCGGAAAAACTCCAGCTTTCCTCTGACAGGCTGGGTAATGCCCTTCTGCTACACACACACACACACTCGTTCAGTTCCTCTCCTTTTTTTTGTTGTTATTATTTCGTTGTTATTTCAAATTATTTGAATGTATTGTTGCAGATTGTTCGTTAGAATTGTCTAAGGCTTATAGCAGATTACTGATTTCGTTAAGGACAGGAAAGTCTAGAGGCTTTTTTTTTTATTTACTTGCTATATTGATCCCGTGGGTGAGATTTCCGAAATATTGACCAGAGAAACTTCTGCTTTGATCATTATTCATGCAAAATTGTATGAAATTTTAGTATTTGAAAAATTATTTTTGTTTTGAAGATAGTGTTTCTTTTTGGGAGAAACGTATGTGAATGCGTAACATGACAATGGGAGAAGTTGTTTTTGTCTGCAAAATGACAAAAATAACTTAAAATGTGTGGAAACCCGGAGGTTTTTGTGTGCTCCAGTAAATTCGGAATACAATTCCTAGCTGTCCGGTTCGCTTTCCATCATCGGCGGTGGCAGAGGTTGTGTGCTCAAGACAGAATTCACCCGGCCTGCCTCAACTACAGGTTTACTGGAACTGCTGTTACGTATTCCCGATTGATTTGAGATCAAATTAAATAAAATAGTAAAATTTATTTTATTGATTAAAATTTGAACAAACAAGAGAAGTTGGGAATCCAAAATTTTAAGAAATAATCGTCGAGCGGTAGCCGATTACCCTTTGACTTGCCGTAACTAGGTTGAAAAGCCATCCTCAATAACAACAAAAAAAAGGAGAGGAACTGAACGAGTGTGTGTGTGTGTGTAGCAGAAGGGCATTACCCAGCCTGTCAGAGGAAAGCTTCATTCGTGTTCGTTATTGATCCGGGAATAAATTGTCTCTACTTTTGGAGTATCAAATGATCTCCGGGACAAGAGAAATAAACTGTTGTCTTCATTTTACTCACTTCTGCTCGTCAATGACTCTGGATCGTTGTTTCAAAGGGTCTCGATCTGTGTGGAGGCCTTCTGTGGTTCCCGGTAGCTTAGTCGGTAAGAGTGCCCGGGGCGTATCTGGGAGACCCGGGATCGATTCTCGGCTGGGTGAAGGGAAATTTTTTCTCTCTAAATTCTAATTCTCTTAGAATTTTTTTTGCCTGCGTGATTTGAAAGTGCCAGGATTCGTTCGTTGAGTGGTAGGGGTCCGACGGGCGGCAGCGGCTCGCTTCCAACAGCAGGCCACAATCGAACAAACGCTCACTGGAACGCTGGTTTCAGTTGATTTAGATAAGTTTCCACTTTTCAGTTTGTAATTATTTTTGTTACCACTGGGAATAGCTTTGGATATTTTGAAAACTAGAAAGATCAAACAATATTTTCTTAATTTTAGGTTTTGTGGTTAGTTCCCGAGCGTCGGATGCGCGTCACTGGTTAGGATCACTGGAATATTTGAATTTTAAACTTAAGTTTTGCGGAAAATAAAATATGAATTGTATTGCGAGAATTCTCGTGGGGCCACTGAAAACACCGAACCAATGTTCAAAGCATTTTCAGATCGTCTCGGCAAAACCCTCGGAATAACTTCATAAAAAGTCAGCAAATTTTGAGAGTTCACATGAGAATCGCCCAACACCGAACAAAATTTTCAAAGCACTCAGATCGTCTCGACGAAATTCTCAGAATTTATTTATTAGGGTATTGATTTTTTTTTTATTTCAAATTTTTATTTGATTTTTAAGCCGAGTTTCCTAGTCAGTTCAGGCACCGCCGTGTATTCAACGGATTATCGGTTAGATTTGTTTATTAAAGTGTAGTGGACTTCATGAAACTCTTGAATAAATTTTAATAATTATTTGGTGCATGAGACGTTCGAAATTAAATGTTGAAGTGGCAAAAAAAAGATTCTAAGTTTGGATCGAGAAATAATTCTAAGTGCAGAGGGGACAAATCAAGAATAAATCCAGAAGGGATATTACAAAAATTCTCTAAGTCCCAAGAGGACGTGTTGAGAACTAAGTCCACAAACTCGCGAATTTTCTAAGTCCGAAAAACACTTTACCGAATTTATTTCACTTCGCGGAGCTCCTTTTGAGCTATGACCGGCTACTTCGAGCGCTGGAACTGAACTGACTGTAGGCTGCCGCGTCTCGAGGTACCTCGACTCGCTCTCTACGGCGCGTCGACGTTGCGTCGAGCCGCCGAAGTGGCACAGTGGTGGGAGTAGTGGGGATGCCGCGTGAAGCGGTGAGACTTGCTACCTGAAGGTGGGGGTCGAGCGTCAAGCGTACCCCTATGTAATGTGTGTAGAGTACTCCCAACACTGTGGCACCCTACTAGGCCTTTATACATTGAATACTTGACATTTTTATTCATTTGAATTATTTCTGATATTTTTACTTGTGAATAATTCATTTTTGGCTGAATTTTGAAGTTGATTTTCACTATGGCTTAAACGGTTCCTTAAGGTACCCTTATTGTACTGCAAATGTCAATTTTTGTCTATTGATATTGTATATTGACAAATTTTACAAAATTCGTTTTTGAGTCTATTTTTCAGCCCGAAACATAATTCCGATGAAAAAACATTTTTTTCATTTTTTTAAAACATTCGATTGTTAATAACATTGTTATTTAACAATATATCGGAAAGGTTTTTTAGTTTATCTGAAAGACCGTTATTTATAGTATTTTTTCCCAAAATTTCATTATTTAATCTTTATAATCTTCGGAGATATTCACAGTCNTGTACTGCAAATGTCAATTTTTGTCTATTGATATTGTATATTGACAAATTTTACAAAATTCGTTTTTGAGTCTATTTTTCAGCCCGAAACATAATTCCGATGAAAAAACATTTTTTTCATTTTTTTAAAACATTCGATTGTTAATAACATTGTTATTTAACAATATATCGGAAAGGTTTTTTAGTTTATCTGAAAGACCGTTATTTATAGTATTTTTTCCCAAAATTTCATTATTTAATCTTTATAATCTTCGGAGATATTCACAGTCAAAAGTTTGACCTTGAGAAACTGTCTATTAGCTTCCCAAAGGGTGGTTTTTGAATTTAAAAATCTGGTCAATGTTCTATTCTGTGGGGAATCTAATGGAGTATTTTTAGAATATTTTTACTTTCCGAAATGTTAATCGGTTCCAAAGTTATTAAGGTTCCAAGTTAAGGGTAGCCAATGACCTGGAAATTGACACTTTCTAATATTTGACTTTTACCGTGATTTTTCATTATTTTCATGTTCCTCACTTAAACTTCAATTGATTGCATTGATTTTTGAATTTTTGTGGTAGATTTTGAATGACATGTCAATAGACAGTCAGATCTGTCTATTGACTTTTTGACTTTTTTGATAATGCATTCTTAGAGAAACCAATTTATTCATCATTTTTCATACCTAACTTTTTCCTATATTCCTCATAGAAAAAGGTCTAGAAATTTCCAAAGTTTCGTTAGAGCACATGAATACGCATCTGCGAGTGCATGCGTGCGTGCAACTTTCAAAAAAAAACCATATCTCCGTTGCATATGAAGGTTAAGGAATGATTCAAATTTTGTCTCATTCGGGGCTTCGAGATCTTCGATTTCAGTCCTCTTCCAGATTTTTCCGATAAAAGTTACTGTGTTTTGTTTATAACAATTACATTTGTTGATGGGTTTTTCAATATTTGATCGAGGGATATAATAATTCACAATTTATAGAATACTTTTTGTTCGACAAACTTCTCTCCATCTCTTACACAGAGGGCGCTATTAATTTCCAAAGTTCTGATAGATACACGGATACACATGCTTGAGTGTGTGAGTGTGGTAAATTTGAAATTTCATATCTCCGCTGTTTGCAGAGATGAAGAAACGATTTTCGGTGGGTATCTTCACCGACATAGACCCTTTGTTGTTAGCCTGTTTTCAAGTTTTTTTATGAACATTATCCCAATTGTTTAGAAACAATTTTACATCTTTATGATTTTTCCAGTCAAATGATCTGTGGAGATTTTAGGTTGAATTATTTCTTGATTTTTCGTGTGTTTATTATTTTTTTACTCTATAACATCATCATGTGCAATCGAAATATAATTTGATAACTGTTGAGTAGATTTGTTTTCTGTCTGGAGACAGTTTGTTGTATTTACATTATAATGGTTTTTAAGAATAATTTTATATTATTTTTTTTGTTCGTTTTTAAAGGAATTACATCGTTTCAAAACTCATGTATTCTTGTTTCTTCAGTTAATTTTCCTTAAATATTTAAGAAGACTTCATTTAAGAAAACGTCACTCGTTGTCGTGGTTGCTGCCTTAGCATCGCAGGTTAGTTCATCTATAATTATAATTAGTATTTGTGGGCTCCTTTTTGGTCCCGTCCTGTTTTTATTAGTAAATTAATTATTAATTATACAGATTGCTTAATCGGCAATGCCAAGGTGACAAACACTGTTCCGTCTTCCGTTAACAGTTTTGTTTTCTTCTTCTTTTTTGTTATATGTGTTTTTCTTTTATTTCTCTTTTCCAACTTGAATACAGAGTTTTTAGCTTGGTTTCTTCTTTGATTTATTGTTTGTAATATATATATTGTTTTTTTCTCCAAATATTCAATATTTCAAGTTATTTTCATGTTTTTGCGGTCATTTTCCTAAATTCAAATTTAGGAAAATGACCGCAAACTTTCAAACTTTTTCGCTTCAAATACTCATAACTCGTAAAATATCGATTTTAACAAAAAATTAAGTGGATAGTTTTTATGTTTGTTTTTAGTCAATCTTTCGATTAGTAGGTGAATTTTTACAAAATATTAGTTTGAGAATTTTTGTACTCTGAAGATTTCCATATCCTTTCATCATTTTCAATTTACTTCAAGATAACATCGAATAATAGAGTAACGTATGTCAATACATAACACTGCTCGCAGTTGGCTTCTGTGTGGATTCTTCTGGGAACGTGTCAGCCATTTCTCCGCCTTTCGCGGCAACAAAAATTATTAGAGAAGGTTCCTCAAACGTTTAATTAATTGTAGACAGATTTTAACCTCTCGTCGCCAATCTGGTTCGTCCCTTGTTTTACTTTAATGTTCAAAGGCTTGAGGATGTTTTCAAGGTCTGATGTCATGCGATTTACTTTTTCTGGTCTTTCTTCCGCTTTTCGCCAGGCTGAAAAGTAGTTGCATACGTGGTGAGTTCGTGACAATGTCGCCTCACGCTGTCGGAGTGATTATTTCTGAGTTACATTCGCAAACTTGCGTATCGAACTTCTGGATCCATCGCTGGAGATTTTTGACTGAATTTTTATTGTAAAACGGATATCAAAACGTTGGTCACCTGCAGACAGGTATCGATATCTTTTCGCCAGTCTGGTTCATTTTCAATGTAGAGTTTGTTGACTTGAGGTTTGGTGTTCAATCCGATGTTAGCGAACATCACCCCTTGACTCACTTTAATAATATTCAACGGTGTCGAAATTTTCAAAGGTTAAATGTCATGTGGTCAGCACTTGTAATTTTCTTTCCATGGTCCTGTAAGCGGATAGCCAATTTGCGAATATTGTAAGTTTATAATGTATCTGTTGTCTCGGAACTGCCGAATGTTCCTCCTTCATTCATGTTTGTAGCGCTGCGTATCCGAATTTCGGCTCCATTTGTTTATCTCCTACAGCGTCAGAGGTCTTCTTTGTCACCTTCCCTTAAATGTTAACTCATAAGGATTAAGTGGCCATCAAAAGGTCATCAAAATAAAAGCCATTCCTGTCAGCGAAAGCTCGAAATGAACGGTTGAAAGCGTGGCGAACTAAAAGCTGGTGTGAGTGTTCATAGATTGTTATCTTCAGTAGTTGCAATGATGCAGAAGTCAGTAAATGTTAATAGTTGTTACAATGTTTCTCAAGCTGCAAATACTCGCTACAGTTATTAATTACATTAGTTCATTAATTCGACATTATTTCTATTGATGACTCACCTTGAATTTCCTATATAGATAGATATTTTTCTTCAACCTTTGGTTTTGTTTGACTTCATTTTGTTTATTATAATTATTGATCGTTATTATTATTTCTTATTTTATTGGGATGACTGGAACGTATGCCATCACTCCGTAATTGTCATATTTGCGTATAGCCTGTATTTCATATGTATATATATATACATATGAAACATATATATTCGAAACATATATATTCAATAATTGCCGGATCCGAAGCAGTTGTTAAAAAACGGAGAAGCCCGGGAGTGTTTGAGAACCTCCAGCTCCTGGAGGTTCCAGTGACATATGGGTAGCCTTTGAGCTCGATTTAGGATACAGCACGTCTTCCTTAACATGAGAAGTTTGTGGCTCATCACGTCTGCGGTGAAATTCCTTGTGCTTCTTACTTTATAGTAAGAACTTTATAGTAGGAACTGTATTATTACAGTTCCTTGACTCCATGTTAGCTGGGTGATCTGCTTTGTTGTTGATCTAATGAGGATTTTCAGATGTTCGGATTTGCATATTTTTATGTAGGAATCAAAACACACATGATGGCAAATACTCTTTTTTGGAAAATTCCCCAATTTAAGAAGGAAGCCAAGTGCGATTGCTTGTTGAAGAGAAAACATATAGGAAGAAGCGAAGATTGTTATTGTGCCAGTTGTACTTTCGTTGGTTGAGCTGTAGATCATCAGGACACCCACCCGATAAAACCTCGGAGAGTTCAATGTTGTCTAGGAATGTTCGCTATATATTCGTTGAAAGGAATTAATTGCTCCTCATTCTCATTTAGGTCTCATTCTAATTTACAATTATTTGCTTTTTCGAGAAATATTTCCGATTTTCGAGAGAATTCTCGGGTTTCTGAGAAAATTCCTAAAAATTCTCCAGTTTTCGAAAAAATTACAAGGATATTTAGAGTTTTCAAACAAAATTCGAGGAAATTCTAGGGTGTCCGAGCACGTTCGAAGAAATTCTTCAGTTTTATAGGAGAGAGGGGTGATATGGACAACTGAAATAAAATGGACACTGAAAAAGTGGCGAAAAAAATTTTTTTTTCAAAATTCAAAATTTTAAAAATTGATTCATTGGGCATTATGGACACCTGATAAATCTGTATGGACGAGACCTAAAATGAACACTCAAAACATT